GTCATAGTATGATGAATATATATATATATATATATTAATGTATACATCAATGTCATTGCAGTATTAATAACTCTAGATGATATTTAACGACAGATACTAAACATGCTGAGATTAAAATATATAATTTCTAAAGTATAAGAATCAAACCCTAAATGATACATACATAAAAACCAAATGTATAGTTAAACCTAGAAAAATTCACTATACATGTGTAGGCTCCATGAGGGAGTAATTGGGCTTGTTTTCCAATTTTGCTGACTTCTATAGCCTCTGAATTGCTTTGGGCCACGCACCAGTCCAAAACATGAAGTAAAGTTAATTTCGCATGATATAAGAGGAAATACTCTCACACAATGTGAAAATGTTAAACCAAAATGAATTTTCTGCTTTCTTTTTTACTTGTAAATAAGAAAGATATAAATTAAAATGAGAACATCGTAAACCTCTTTAAATTCATACTTTAAGAAAATTAAAATTATTAAATCTTACTTGCTGGCATTTAAACATTCAGCAATTTGATTTATTTTAAATTATAATAAGATATAAATTTGTTTTTTGTTGGAGAGAAAAATAAACATAATCAATGGTATGTTTTCTGTTAGAAAAGTAAACAAAAATAATAATAAAATGTAAGAAATGTTGATCGTTTACATTAAAGTTCAAGAAGCTAAATTACAAAACCTGAAATTTCTTAAGGTAATTTGTTTTTAGTCTAAAATTGAAGTGAGTTATTTATAAATTTTAAAAAAATATTTTTTAAAATGACTAGTAAAAATTAAGTTTTTTTAGTTACGCTTAATCCTACAAAATAATCTTAATCTGTTAGCACCATTTACATGTAAGTATTATATTTAACTACTTTTACAATCAAATAAACTAATTTAAACATGCATTTTAATATATAGAGAGAGGAATGTTTTTGTTAACCACGGTATTAGTATGAAAAATTCATCATAAAAAATAGTGATTAATCTTTATTAAATATTATAAACGAATATAAAATAATTTTTTTCTTTTAGCATAGTTTATTTCTATGAGTATATAAATAATACTTTCTCTAATACTCTCTTTCTCACATTTTTGTTATTATTATTTGTTAAAATTGATTAAAAATCACATATTATAAGAGTCGCATTTCATTTAATGAATTTTTTTTAATTTAGTAATAAGATTTATCAAAATTTATTGTTTTAATTAATAATAGAGACATTATTAACTGAGAGAGTATCCAAACATTTATCGAGTAAAAAGCTTGAAATAAAATATGGAAGTTAAAATAATTTGTATAATCATAAAATGCTTAGCACAAAATGTGATGTATTTGTCTAGGCTAGTATTACCTGTCTACTCTATTTGATCACTAGATTACTAGAATAATTGAACAGCTATAAACCACCTTAGAGCATTCTGACACTATAGGACTAACATGGGCCCATAGAGGTGCATGTCAGACAACCAACATGCCCATAACATTCTAGGTTAATTGCACTTAATCATTTCTCATTCAAAAGAAAGCACATAGACAAATCTTTTTTTTTTTTTTCTTTCTTTCTTTCTTTTATCTTTCTTGGGTCTCCTTCACTTTTGTTGGATGGCTCGATGTAAGTGTATTTTACTAGGATCCCAAATCATTTAAAACTTAATTGATTGCAAAAACAA